CCTTCTCAGCAGCTAACTAATAACAAGAATGAAGACTGCTTAAGGTGGTAGTGGTCTTGAACCTAAGTGGTCATTCTTACCACTTCTGGAGCAAAACTATTAAGGAGAAAGAAAAGGAGCGAATGAAACCAAATAATAGTGTTAGAACCTCTAAATCTGTTAACGAATAAGAATGCTACTATGCTGACACAGTACAAATGAATGGCATTTAAAATACGTTTTAATGAAAACACTTTTTTACCATCTTCCAATAAAAATTATTGACATTTTTTCCACTCTGAACCTGCTCTGGCATTAGGACTGAATTCCTTCCTGCTCCACAGGTTTGAGGTTCCACTGCACCACTAACTCCCCAGTGCTCTTGAGGCACGTGTTAGATATGCTCTCCTCTGTTGGAAGTCCTTGTGGCAGCTTCAGTGGCTGGATTCTGAACATAAGAAAATGCATTCAGAATTATGCCAGGCAACATTTTTTTTTTTTTTTTAAAGCAGTTGATATGCCAAAGAACAAACCTTATCAAATGTTTAACCACTTTCAGTTTTGCATTCACTGACGGGATATTTTTGTGAACTTGAGGAGTATGTGCCTGTGAACAAGGGAAACAATGCTATGAATCAGTCATTTAGACAATTCTTTGTTTCAGTAGAATGTTAAGCTAAAGGCTCCTTCTGTCTAAATCAGAGCTACAAATAAGCTATATTACATAAGAAATTTGAAAAAAGAAATTATAATATAAGCTTTAAAAAGGATAAAATTCTAAGAAAAATTTTAAATGAAAGATGACTAAAATAGTTACATACTTTTTGTAATCCAAGCATCTTTATTACATCTTTTTCCCAATATGGACGTCTTTTTGTACTTTTAATCCTTGTAACAATATGCAGTTTATGAGGGTTTTGTGGATCGCCACCGTATTTTTCATGATCTGCAGCTGAAGGTTGAAACACCTAGAGAGGAAGAATTACAAATGGTGCATTTCCAACTTCTACACAGTTTCTTATTCTTTGTGCCTCCACTGCCTTTCCTGCAAAGAAATGCTTATAGTGCCATACCTAAGCTTTATATGGACTTCTGGTGTGGCACTATGGATAAGCAATGGACTGAGAACAAGGCTGGCAGTTCAAACAGACCACTTGATCCTCGAAAATCCTATACAGGGTCACTATGAATCGGACCAAACTTGATGGCACTTGACAACAACAAGAATCTCTATATAATCCTGAACTGCAACATGAACAGTTTTCCAAGTTTGATAACTCAGTAAGATGGAGTCTAAGAAAAATATCACACAGGTAAGATTTGTTTTTTACTTTTGTTTAACCTGTATATCCAAGTAGAAACAAACAAATGACATTAAAGGGTTGAGAAGGTCTATAAGGTGAACAATATTGTAGGGAGGTTAACACCCCTTAGAACAATCAACCATGTGAGATAAAAAAGGCGGCATTTGGGTGGCCAGGAAGCAGGCTTGCAGAATGTGCCCTTTGGTTGTTTACATGATTATATATTCCTGAGTGTTTTTGTGTATATACCCACCATACACCCCCCCCCCCCCCGAGGGAATAGAAACAAATACTGTTGAATGAAGATGCACAGAAGAGACTGCAGTCATTGCAATGAAATGATGATGTTCTCCCATGGAAACTATCACTCAATTCACAATAAAAACTTAACACGGGTTTCCCAGACTGTAAATATTTACGGCAGCAGAAAGTCTCATCTTTCTCCTACAGAACAGTAGGTAGTTTCGAATTGCTGACCTTGGGGTTAGTAGCTTGACTGGTAACCACTACGCTATCAGAGGCTCCCGAAGGATTGCAATTAATGATATGAAACAAAATGTGTATAAACTGAATGGAAAACTGATTTGCTCTGTAAATCTCTACTCAATTTACAATAAAAACCCCAAAAAGTTGAAAAGGCAGGAGAATTAATCAACCATACTTTGAGCCAGCCGTTGAGAGACATCCCCCAGCTCCATACCTTCCAGAAGGTCAGGAGCTGACTGACAAGCAGGGGAAACAAACATAATGATTAAAAATCATGTTAAACGAGTATTACAAGAAGTATGTACAAAGTATACTATGGAAGCACAGAACAAGGACTAATAATAAATTCTACCTATGAGGAATTGGAAAAAATTCCATAGAGCTGACATTGGATCTGATTTTCCAGAAATCAAAAGACTCTGGGTAGCTATTCCACAGAAAAACTTGCACAAGTAAAAGTAGGTATGGAAAGAGGATGTGGACTGCACTGCTGTTTGTAGCTGGAAAAATGGAAAAAATCTATATTCCTCAATAGGAGACTAACTAAATAAATGCTAGCAGGGGCTAACATTGAAAGATAGCCTAATATATTCTTGAGCAAAACTAAACAAACAAGAAATCAAATTGCCACATTACTACGTACAGTTGTTGTTAAGTGCCACCGAGTCAGTCTGACTCAAGTGACCCTGTATAGGATTACTGAGATCACAAATCCCTATGGAAGCAAAAAAGCCTCATCTTTTTCCTGAGGGGTGGCTGATGGATTCGAACCACTGACCCTGCCCAACACTATCCACCAGGGCTCCTGTATGTGCACTTTGCTGGTAAGTGCCATCTAGTTAGTTCCAACTCATAGCAACCCTGGATATGGTTTCCTGGTATGGCGTTGTAGGATCAACACTGGACGGTGAACCACAAGGTCGGCAGTTCAAACCCATCAGCTGCTCCTCGGAAATCCTATAAAGGGTCACTATGACTGTGAACTGACTCGATGGCACTTAACAACAACGTATGGTTTCCGAGGAGCACCTGGTGAGTTTGAACCGCTGAACTTAGGGTTCAAACCAACTTCGCAGTCCAGTGTTTATTCTACAGTGCCATACCAAGCCTCTCGTTTGTGCACTAGAATATGATTCTTAAAATCAATGTTTGTAAAATATATATCCATACCCAGACATTTGTAATAAATACAAGATGGAACAGATACAAGATCGTATACATACTAGGATCTTGTATTTGTATCAAATGCATGGGTATGGATATATATTTTATAAACACTGATTTTAAGAACCATATTCCATACCCATTGTTGTTGTTAAGTACCATGGAGTCAGTTCCAACTCATAGTGACCCTGCACAGGGTTTCTAAGGCTGCAAATCTTTACGGGAGCAGAAAGCCTCATCTTTCTCCTACGGAGTGGCTGGCAGTTTCGAACTGCCAACCTTGCGGTTAGTACCCCGATTCATACATGTATATTATTGGAGCTTTAAAAGTTCATAGGAAAATAGAATCAGTAGAGAATGGAATTTTCCACAAACTTTTGGAAACCCCCTCACGTATATGATGTTGTTAAGTGCTGTCAAGTTGGTTCCAACCCATAAAGTCCCTGTATAGGGTTTCCGAGGAGCAACTGGTGGGTTTGAAATAATCCTACAGTACCACACAGGCATCCCCTCATATATATATGTGTGTGTGTGTGTCTGTACACACACACACAGACACACATACAGAATAATACTTACATATGCATAAAAGTCTAAACACATTATATCAAGAGTCATACCTCTGGGGAATCAAAACGAGGTGGTGGTGGTGGTTATGTGTGTGAAGTCGGTTCCGACTTATAGCGACCCTGTACAGGGTTTCCAAGGCTGTAAATGTTTATGGGAGCAGAAAGCCTCCTCTTTCTCCCACGGAACAGCTGGTAGTTTCAAACTGCTGACCTTGCTGTTCGCAGCCTGATTTGCACTACACTACCAGAGTAGATTTTTTTCAAACAGATTTCATCAAAAAGAGGAATCAAGTTCATTGACAGTCACATGACATTGGTAAATGAAAGCAGCTTCAGAAGCACTGCTACGTAGGACATGGTTCACATCTTGAAATATAAACAACAGAACAGGGCGTGGAAGGCGTTGGCAGCAGTGGTCTGAAGATGGTGGGATTAAAGGGATTTTTAGGCTCTGTTTGCTTGTTTGTATTTCTCTAGGGCCTCTGAACAGCCTTAGGGTAAAAGAAAAGAGGCAGGCAAAGGATAGGATAAATGCGGCAAAGAAGAGGAGTAAATATATAAAGAAACAGTGTAAATGAGCAAGGAATACTTGGGAAAAGCAACTAGGTCAGTGTAGCTAAAGTGAAAAAAAAGGGAAAAGATGAAAAGCAATGCAGGGGAAGAAGTTAAACTATGCTCCAGGAAGGCTGGACCTTTAGAATTCACTTGCAGGGATACAAAGTCATTAAAGATTTGAAGAAACATGGCCCTATTTCAAAAAGAGATTCAGAAAGAGAATAAAATGAACTAACTGAATGTGGAGGACTGGGACAAGGAAACCCATTTAGAAGTAAGTAAAGGTCATGGTTTAAAAACCTGAATGCAGTAGTTGTAACAGCAAAGGAACTGCTTTGATGATTTGGATAGTCTGATAGAAGGATCTGGTGGCTGCTGAAGGAGGAAGAGGGGTAGAGATCCACTCAGGTGACTCCAGTTTGGGAAGCTAGGTAGAGAGCAGCAGCATTAACTGACATAACAAAATAAAAAGAGCACCCTCTTGTGTGGAGGGAAAGAAAGATCATGAGTTGAATTCTGGATTTGTTTAATCCGAAATACCTAAGAGTTATCCAAGTAGCCAAATCTAGGAACCAGGTGAGAATGCAGAAAAAAGTTCAGAAGCTAGGTAAGGGGCTGGGGTCAACACTGATCTCAGAATTATTATTTTATGAAGTTTCACACTTATTTACTCCAGCTGACATTCAAAATTGTTGTCTTACTATGTGATTATATTGACTACTAACATTGTTTAAAACGAACATTAGCATTTGTAGCTACTCTGTTTTGTCCAGAAGTTTACAGACTAAGTATATAAAAATAGGAAATGAGGCAACACAGCTGTGAAAAGGGCAGCAGCAGAAAGATCATGAATTGAAAATTTATTTTAAGAATTGCTGTTCTTCAATAAGATAAAGATAAAGAAGTTTGATACTGGGAGCAAGCGTTAATTGCTACAATCTGATGACTGGACCTTTGCTTATGGATGCGGTTACTCAAAATTCCAACCGAAATGGACGTATTCTTCATATCAAGGATCAACATTGTCTCCTCAGTACACTGGGTTAATAGGGACAGGCAACTTAGACATTGGGTATAAAATGGACGGTGGGCGGGGGGTGGTGGTGGATATAAAGGCATGAAGTGGCTGGCTCACAAGCTTTCCTGGGTGTGCTTAGTTTCAGAGTGTGGAGGATAAGGTAGAATCCCCACTCAATAACAGTCTTCCTCTTTTCCAGGTGGATCTGGCAGAAGGGGAGGGAGGATGATGGCAATAGGAGTTTATGATTCAATTGTGAGTAATTGGTAGTGGGATTAATCGTGATTGTCACAACTGTAATTGTAGAAGACATGTAACTAAACAGAGGGGAATAGTTAGTCTTTCATTTCAGGAACAGAGGACCCCAGGATCATTAAGAAGGTGGAGCATGAGATCCTACTCAGAAAACCGGTGACAGCAGAGACGGTGGCAGAGGTGATGGCATGGAGAGATAAAACAGCTGTGGCCTCCAGACCCATGGACTGAGAAAGGTTGTGTGCCTGTGGGCAGGAGGCAGGCTTGCAAAATGTGGCAAATGGACATTAAAATGAGTAAGCAATTCTTGTTTTGTATGTATACATCAAACATTTTTGCTTTGCTCATTTGTGAAAAATAAGATATAAAAGGGAAGCCACAGGGTGGAAGCAGGGTAACTATTGTTACAGGGAGCTGAGTGCAATCACTGAGATGAAATAAAATGCATGAGTGGTTGAAAATAAAGCTGAAGATCTTGTCTGTTTACCTTAATTCATAATATAAAGTTAAAAAAAATAATTTCTGTTTTTTTTCCTATTCCAGTGGGTAGTGCCTGGGATCTTAAAAGACTGCCATCAGCCACATATGATACAATACTTTATTCATCTGGAACAATGGAGGAAGGAGAAGGCAATGGGTCACAGGTCTAACTACCTCCATGAACTACTACCTCCTTTGCCATGAGACTAAAAGAAATAGATGGTGTCCAGCTACCATTAGTGAACATTTTGATCAGGACTCAATAGATGGATGTTGCTCAAAAGGAAGAAAACTATAGGATGGAACTTCAAATTCTTATTGCAAACTAGACTTACCAGACACACTCAGACTGCAGAGACCTCCAAATCTATTGTCTACAAAAAACTTTTCAACCCTGAGTCAAAACTATCCTATAAAGTCACCTTTAAACCAAATAAAAATTTACCTCAATGATGTTTGCTTTGAGTATTGTGCCCTATTGAAGAATTATCTAGATGAGATTAAAGCGACAACAGTAATTCTACAGCAGAGAGCAGAGAATATATATTACTCAAACAGTAGGGATATGGCGACACAATCGATGTATGTGACCAATGTTAATGAATTAATTATACAAGTGAAAATTGTTAAATGAATTTCACCCAAAGTAAAAGTAGAATAAAGACATCTCTGGTGAAAGAACATCAAGTACACTAATGGTGCAGTAGTTCACGGTGATACTATTTCACCTTTTAAAAACTGAATGGAGGCCTGAGTCAGTGCTTTGTTAAGAGAGTGATGCTGTCATTGTTAAGTGCCGTTGAGTGGGTTCCAACTCATAGGGACCCTATGTAGGGTTTCCAATTAGCAGCCGGTGAGCTTGAACCACCAACCATGTAGTCCAAACTGACCTCACAGCCCCATGTTTTATCCCACAGCGCCACACCAGGACTACAAGAGAGTGATTTGTTGTTGTTGTTGTTGCTGTTGTTAAGTGCTGTCAAGTCGATTCCAACCCATAGCGACCCTGTATAGGGTTTCCAAGGAACAGCGGGTGAGCTTGAATCGCCAACCTTGCAGTTCAAACGACTTTGCAGTCTGATGCATTAACCCACAGTGCCACACCAGGAAGGTACACTTACACCTAGAAGGGAAAATGCAAGGGCCTGAAATAGAGATGGTCACTTGCTCTGAAGTGCCGCACAGTGAGAACCGGTGGAGAAGAAAGGCTCACTGCTTTCGAGAAAAAGGAAAGAAATCAGAAGCTGGATTAAGTAGAATCTAGGATGATGAAAACACACGACGTGTGAAAGGCAGCGGCACAGCTAACAACGTCACTTACATAATTCCTACGAAGTTTCAAACTCTGCACCGCTGCACGTATCCAAAAGCAATGTAACAGAAAAAGCTTTCAATATGAAAAACATAGATACCTTTTTAAAACTTAGTATGCTTTAATAACAGCAATATTAAAAAACAAAAAACTTGTTCTTACTTTATCAGGAATTCTTGACCGGGTAAATTTGTGACGAATCCAGTCTGTACATATGAGAGACTCCGTACCTTTTGACACGGTCTAAAATATGACAGGAAACATTTGTTGTTTAGAACTTTGTTTAGTAAATCTCTATCGACAAATCTTTAAGGGATAAAAATCTGGTATGACCTAACCTATAATTTTTCAAGGTTTAATCTCAGAATCTCAGTAGGATTAATATATCCTAAGGAGCTCTGGTAGCGTAGTGGTTACGAATCGGGCTGTGAACCTTAAGGTCAGCGGTTCGAAACTACCAGCCGCTCCGCGGGAGAAACACGAGGCTTTCTACTCCCATAAAGATTTACACCCTCGGAAACCCTGTACAGGGTCGCTATGGGTCGGACCCGACTCGATGGCACTTAACAACAACAACAACAATCCAACCATTAACATGTTACAAAGCTGAAATACAGACTTCTAGACCAGAGGCTGGCATATTTTTTTTGTAAAGTGCTAGACAGTAAATATTTAGTTCCGAGGGCTATGCAAGCATTATCTAAACTCAACACTGGAGTTCAAGACAGAAGGAGCCACAGACAATTTATAACCAAATGAGTATAGCTGTTTTCCCGTATAGTTTTAGTTACAAAAACAGATGGTGTGCTAAATTTGGACACTGGGCCATAGTTTGCCAAGCCCTGCTCTAGACAATGTACAATTCACCCTCACAAATACAGTGTAAAAGAAAAGCAAAATGAGTTCCCAATTTTCCTTTAGGCCTAACAATGCCATCACTGTTACTTCTCATCTCTTATTCCCCTTCTGTACTCCTGTAATCTTGTTTCTCTCGGGCTGCTGAAGCAAAAGGATTCATTGCTATAGCTTCACAGCAAGAAACTCTGATCATGGGTAATCATGGGATGAGGGGCAGTGCAGGGACTGATACTACCAGCAATCATTTCCTTCCAGACTTCTCTGTGCCTCAGAAATGGCATAAGCAGCTAACGGGTTCCTTGACAACAGGAAGGAGGGAATGCAAGGGGTAAAAGAAAAACACAGGACTTGACACTGGAAACACTGGGCTTCTAGTCCTCATTCTGCTGCCAATCAGCTGTGAGTAATCTGACAAGTTGCTCATCCCTCTCTGACAGTCAGAATCCTCAGCTATATGAAGGAAGTAATTCTGCCCGTACAGCATGGATCTGAGGTGAAGAGAGTCTATGTAAACCACCTAACATTACCATGGGCAACCACTAGCAGATCGATATCAAGACTCCTGCCCTTATGAACAGATTAGGCTGCACTTTCTAAAAGAAAGATGGGAAGGACATATATGAAAATGTTGTTCTTGTTAAATGCCTTAGTCGGTTCCGACTCACAGCGACCAAATGTAGGGTTTCCAAGGAGTGACTGGTGAGTTTGAACTGCTCTACTTGTGGTTCAAACCAATCTTGTACTTATCCTACAGTGCCACACCAGGACTCCATGTACAAAAGTTGTTGTTGTTAAGTGCTGTCGAGTCAGTTCTGACTCACAGCGACCCTGTATAGGGTTTCTGAGGAGCAGCTGATGAGCTTGAACTACAGATCCTGTGCTTCAAACTGACCTTGCAGCCCAGTGCATTAACCCATAGAGCCACACCAGGACCCCATATATGAAAAGAAACCACCAATATTCTCTGGGCAATTGTTTCTCTTTCTACTTTTCTCTATTTAAAAAAATGTCTGTCATTAAAAAATGTACCACTTTCATAACAGAAGAAAAAAAAAGCCCCAAACCTTTAAAAAGATCAAGACAGACCAAGGGGAATCGATAGTACTAATTTGTTAGTGGCATGATCTCCAGGAAAAGATCTTTTCTGATCCTAAATCTTTAGGGATAAAATAGCAGACAAATCATAAATACATTTCTCTATTAAATCCCCCAACAATAATCAAGAATTTATGGGTTAAGCTGAGAACTCTAGACTCATGGAAAGAGAAAGGCTGTATGCTGGTGGCTAGGAAGTAGGCTTGAAGAATGTGCCCTTTGATTCTTTAAACTTTAGAGTATATATTCCTGAGCATTCTTGTGTACATCAAAAAACAAAAAAACACCAGAGGGAATAGAAGCAAATACTGGTAAATGATAATGCATGGAGGGGACTATAATCATTGCAATGAAACAAAACACAATAGGATGAATTCAAAACCAATGTTCTCCCATGTCAACCACTCAATTCACAATAGAAGCTTTAAAAAAAACAAAAACCCCCAAAATAGGTAAAGGAGATAAATATGATTAATGATAGAGTGCACACTCTGTCTAACGGCATACAAGTTCAAGAACTCTCAAAACACCATGGGTCACTCAAAATGCAACTGCAGACTAAATGTGAACAGTAAGCAGCTTCATAGTATACTGCTACACATGCAGAGTACATAACTGCAACTTTCTCACAAACATAACTGAACACTACTTCGCTCCCTCCTACTAGAATTAGTCAAAGAGATATCTATAAGAAGACCATTTCTTCATATTTGTGAAATGATTTTCCTAGAGTCCAATAGGAGGAAAAAGCTTATCTCACCTGTGGTACTTCGAATTTACCTGCTAGGGCTTTTCTAGTCAGCGTCTTCTTAATTCCACCAAGTAACTGGGTGTTGTTGTTGTTGTTAAGTGCCGTCGAGTTGGTTCCGACCCATAGCGACCTTGTACAGGGTTTCCGAGGCTGTAAATCTTTACGGGAGCAGAACGCCTCATCTTTCTCCCGCGGAGCGGCTGGTAGTTTCAAACTGCTGGCCTTAAGGTTCGCAACCCGATTCGTAACCACTACGCTACCAGAGCTCCTTAGGTGCCATCAAGTCAGTATCGACCCATAGTGACATTATGCACAGCAGAACCAAACACTACTCAATCCTGGGCCAACCTCAATACTGTTGCTACGCTTGAGCCCATCAATGCTGTTAGTTAGCCAATCCATCTCGGTGGGGGTCTTCCTCTATTTCTCTGACCCTCCACCTTACCAAACTGGTGAGCTTGAATCGCTGATATCCTTCTCCAGAGACTGGTCCCTCCTGACAATATGTCCGAAGTATGAGAGATGAAGTTTGGCCATCTTGGCCTCCATGGAGCACTCTGGTTGCACTTCTTCCAAAAGTGACTGGGTGGGACCACTCAAATAAGGTATACAGGACTCTAAGCAGCCCTGGTAGTGTAGTGGTTATGAATTGGGCTGCTAACCTCAAGGTTAACAGTTCAAAATTACCAGCTGTTCTGCAGAAGATGAGTCTTTCTGCAACCATAAAGATTTACAGCCTTGGAAACCTTGTACAGGTCGCTATGAGTTGGAACCGACCCCACAGCACACCACCACCACCAAGGCTAGAATTGGTCAGTTTTGCCCTCCAGCTAGGTTTAAAAGGAGCTGTCTCAGAAGCAGAGTCAGAGGATCCCAGGACTATCAAGAAAGAAAAGCATGAGTGGAGTGTGATATCCCTACTTGGAAAAGTAGAGGTGGTGGCAGAGGTGGAGACATGGAGGAGTTGTAGGCATCTAGGCCCATGGACTGAGTAAAGCTGAGTGCCTACGAGCAGGAGGCTGGCTTGCAGAATGTGCCTGTTGGACATTTACAGACTGACTAACAGAGCTTGGTAACACCTGCCCAAACAGGGCCGAGGCCAAGGGGCCACATGGCTGTAAGGCTAAAGACAAGAGAGAGACGTGTCTGCAGTAAGGCAGACAGGAGGCATTCCTGACTACAAAACTACTGCATCTTAAGTTGTTTTATGATCCTGAAATTTAACCTGTTCACTTTCCTAATAAACCCCATACTCATAAAAACAACAACAAAAATAATATGTAGGTTAATGTGCTGAGCTGCAAGGTCAGTTTGAACCACAAGGTCAGCGATTCAAGCTCACCAGTCACTCCTTGGAAACCCTAAACAGGGTTCTTATGAGTCAGAACCAATTCAAAAATACTTAACAACAATAACAACATATTTGTATGTTTAGTTATTAGGAAAGAGGAAAAGATCACTGAGAAAAGGAAAGAAAAAAACATTAATTCTTAAAAAAAAACACTTACCTGTAGACTGCCTGGGGGTCTCTGAACTACTAAGCGCAAAATCCCCGCCATTCAGTTTGGTGATTCCTCTCTTTAGAGACTGTGCAGAGCAGAAAATAAATCCACAGGTCAAATACAAGGAAGCTTCAAAATGTTTGCGAGCAAAAATTTCTTTATGTTTTCATTCCATTTTCCTACAAATTTTTTTAAACCCCTTTGTATGTCTTGGAAATGGATAAATGTCCCTTCTATAGTAGTTACGAATTGGGTTGCCAACTGCAAGGTCAGCAGTTCAAAACTAACAGCTGTTCCACGGGAGAAAGATGAGGCTTTCTGCTCCTATAAAGATTTACAGCCTCGGAAACCCTGTACAGGGTCACTATGAGTCGGAACTGACTCCATGCACATAACCACTATAGTACTAAAAGCAGAAAAAAAAATTTTTTTAATTAAGCAACAGATTAACTGCAAACCTGTTTGAGTTTGAACAATAAAATATGAGTTATATTAATATAAGGATAAGAAATAAATTTCAGGATGAACCTTGAAGACATTACGCTGAGTGAAATTAGTCAGTCACAAAAGGAGAAATACTGCCTAAAACCATTAT